AAAGTCTGAAATAAACTCCTTACTGCGCAATTTGCGTTGTTAGGGACGCGCTTTTTCAAATTTCCCGCGTCTGGGGGCAGTTTTCTAACTGAAACAATTAACGGCAACTCGCGGCTATTTCCGGTCAACTAAAACTGACAACATAACCTAAAAATCGAAGCTTGTGATATCGTGAAATGAAATGTAGGAGGATTGCGTTGGATATTTAAAAGTTGATCGATTTGGTTAGCGCTTAAAGCGTATATGGACCACTATGAGAGATCACGTTGGGTTTGTAAACAAACTGAAGGAAAAAATAACAACAACAACAATGACTCGGCATCTTCCGGAAATCACCGAGCCCGCCGTTTGCTCGTTTCCGGTGATTAGAAAACTGCCCTCAGACGCGGGAAATTTGAAAAAGCGCGTTCCTAACAACGCAAATTGCGCAGTAAGGAGTGTATTTCAGACTTTTTTAATGCGACCATCGTAATTTTCGTGTCATTTAACCTTTAAAAAGTCTATTCGCGCGGCTGTATCTCTTGCATGCAACAGGCCCATTAAAGGTGCTGTCTATTTTATCACAGAAAGACGACAAAATTAGAGATACCCTCTTAGGAAATGAGAGATTTCGTCACCTATCCTCGTTTGGAATTTTTTTTCCGAATCCGATTTTTCTTTACAGCTACATTTCAAAAAAACTTCAAAATTTGCCGCCCCCTAAATTTGCATAACAACCAAACAACCTAAAACCTAACAACCACCCGTTTCAACCAATTGGATAGCTCATTTTTCTTTTGCTTATTGCTTTGTCTATAAATTCCAATAATTAGCCTGCAGGCAAGTTGTGCCTTGAAGAGTAGAGACATTTTATGATGCCCTCGATGTTATTAGTGCGATTTATCCTTATTTAGTCCCAGATCGTTTTCTGAGGCCTATGCAATATTTTCTGCAACGCGTTTTGCTTTCTCGAAAAAGTAAACGCGCAACGCGCTTATCAAAACGTTGTTCAATTATTGGACCATTTCTGGATGCGTAACGAAGTCTTATTATTCCGCGAGAGTTAAAAACCTGGAAACCTTCAAACCAAAAAAAAATTTCAGTCTCCCCAATTTTTAGGGCTTTTCCACAAAAATGTTATCTTTACCGCGGCGTCGAAAACAGTTTGCACCTCTGTTTCGTCCATTCAGTTGGCTGTATTTAGAGTACCTGTATAGCGAGAGTATGGACAGATGTGAAACTCCGAAAATCCATCAGGCCTTCACCGATGCTTCTGCGAATAAAGTTAGGGCCCAGAAATGCAGCCAACCTATGAATTTCAATTATCCAGAACGATTTACTAATACTATTGTTACGAACCGTCGTTTACAAAGCATGTATTTGGCTCAGTTTTTGCATACATTTACTCATTTTTGCGGAAGACCGCTCATTTCTGTACATTTTTGGCCATCTTTGTTAGAATTGGAATTTGCATACTCTGCAGATTGACAGTGTTTTGTGTGGTAGAAGTTGGTTAGAGGGATGGCTGCACTTTTGGGCCCTAAAGACCTCCATGAAGCGATCTGTCCATACTCTTGCCATACAGGTACTCTAGTATCCCTTGTGTACTCCAAACCCATCTGAAAGCAGATTGGTGTAACGTCGCAAATTTTTTCGAGTGTTTCGGGACTTTTCGACGCAGATGCGTGCGGCGATCCGGCAGCCGTGTGGTAGAATGTTTGTTCGAGTGAAGTTGTGTTTGTCTCCGTGTTTTGGTTCGAGAGGCGCCTCTCACGGTGCACGCCTTCAAGTGCTCCCGTCGGGCCCCGCCTATGATTTTGGCCGTGATTGCTTTGCCAGCCCCGAACCCCGAACCCTCCCGACACTTATTATTATTCCGCATGTTTTCAAACAGTGCTCAAAACTCACATGCGCCAACGCGCCAAATGCGCCCAAAAAAATCGGCCATGGCGCCTAAAAAGTGAAGGCTCTGGCCAACGAGGCCCCTAAAAATTGCCCCCTAAAAATCTGAATTTTCATATCAGGTGATTATTCGAAATTTCCAACCCTACAAGTGAAAGCTTTTTCTATTCTTTACGATTTCATCCTTTGCGCTTTTGATTTTGGCTTTCCTCGCATTCAGAATAGAGGAACCAAGTCGAGGTGTGGTATGAAGGTTGATATGAGCCACAACGCTCTTGTCACATGTTCATGACTCATGAGTGCCGCATTCAGTCGGCACATAGTTCCGTTTGACAGAATGTAAAATCCCGATTTTCCATTTCTCCAAAGGGAATCACGCCTATTTTTACGTTGTTTCTGATGCAGCTTTCTAGAGCATACCCCATTTTCCCCACTCGTCTATACTGCCTTGCTAAGGAAGAAAGCCGTAAGAACATTTGCGAGTTGCCAAATTTCCCTTGGTAAAACATGTATATTTAACGCAATTTAAGTATATTTTCCCTTGAAATTTTCAGATATTTCAGATCAAATTGCGTGCATAATTGTCTGAAAATTTTGGATAATAATATTAAGAATTTTCCTGGTAAATTCGGTTTTTATCGATGGAAATTTGGCAACGTCTGAAGGCTCATACGGCGTTCTTCCTTAGCACGGCAGTATAGTTCCGTTCGGCAGAAATACGTCCATATTAGTTTGTTTATTTTTTTTTCGAAGTTGTGTCATAAAGTGTTTCCCGAACAAATATATAAATACCTGATGCACCGCGGCTGATTTTGAACTCAAAGACTTCTCGAGGAAATCTCTCCAAATTTAGAAAAATTATCGATCGAACGAATCGATCGACAATCGATTCGATTTCGGCAGCACCGTAGATCAAGCTCAAAGTCAACGTGGCTCGGTCGGACGAAGTACACGAGTGGAAACTCCGGAAACTGGGTCACCATTCTGCCGCGCTAAGGAAAAACGCCGTATACACCTTCGTGAGTTGCCGAATTTCTCCCAATAGTATATTTACTTCTCGGGAAAAGTTATGAACACGTTTTCTCTAGATTTTCAGACACTCTAGTGTGAATTACGGTGAGTGAATCACGCTAGAGTGAATTACGGTCATTTCAACAACAATGATGCATATTTTCCGAAAAAATTAATTTTTTTATCATTTAATTCAGCCACGAGCTCGTTTAAAAGCGTGTTAATCCGAAACGTAACGCCCGCGATTTCGCTACGATTTTCCAGTAATTCCCATCTTTCTTATGCGTCAGCTCCGACCTTGTGAATTCGTGTACATTGGCGGGCCCAGCAAATTGGCAACATGGTATTTTCTCCATTTAAACCTATGGAAATGTATCGATTCTTGGAGGGGCCAGGTACTCCAACAAGAATCGATTATTTAGCATAGGTTTGAATGGAAGAATCCGGTGTTGCCAAATTGCTGGATCCGCCTCTGCTCGTGCATGCGTATCGTCCTGCTAAGGCAGAACGTCGCACGAACAATCGAATGCTTCCAAATTGCCTCCCTTAAAATTTGTATTTCTCAAGAAAATCCGGAATATTTTTTCTTGAAAATTTCAAATAGTTTAGATCGAATTGCGAATTGAATTCTCTGAAAAACTGGAAGATACATATTCACACACTGAATTACAAACTCCAGCTGTAGAAGTTCTAACTTACGGGCTGTATAAACGTACCATCCGTTCCAAGTTCCGTGTCCGAAAGTTCCGGGTGTAGCACCCGTAGCTCGGGCTCCTAAACTCGGGACATGCTCGAGGCTACGGCCTCAGCACCCGGCACGTTCGGCTTCAGACCGCTGGATGGACGGTATGTTCACATGGACCATAAGCACGGCTTCCACAGCAGGGCCGGATTTGCCTCCTTGCCGCCCGGCGCCCTCTTCTCATTCCTTTTTGAAACATCAATAAAAACCATAAAGTGAACGTGCCAGCGGGGGAGGGGTGCATAAGACGCGTTTACTTGTGTTGGACACATTTTTTTTGGGAAAGCCCTGTCAACACTACTAGTAAAAGTTCACGGAACTTTGCGCGAAATTTAAGTTTCGTAAACCTATCTCTTTGTGGACAAGTCCTTCCATTCACTAGAAATGAACGAAAAAATTATGAAAGAACAAACATAAATGTGGTTTAATGATTTTAACTTCCGCCGCGCCGCGCAGACCGCACCGTGTTCGGCGCAATGCGTGCGAAGTATTCCGACAGTCTTGTAGGTACTGTGATTTTCACGCCGACCGCTATTGAACGCACTGTGTTTGACGCAATGCGTGAAGTATTCATGCATTCTTGCAGGCGCTATCCGTTTCGCGCTGACCGCAGCAGTCTTGTGCATTCGTGCAGTCTTGTAGGCGCTAATATGTGTTACATGCCGATCGATCGCCGCGCCGAGGGTTTCTCCTTTTCATCTCAAGTTCTCGTCATCATTGCTCTCTGCGCCGCGCCGTTTCAGGCTAAATTCCGTATTCGGTTTCTCTCTTAGTCTTAACTCGACTAATTAAAGGTGCTGTCTATTTTATCACAGAAAGACGACAAAATTAGAGATACCTTCTCAGGAAAGGAGAGATTTCGTCACCTATTCTCGTTCGGAATTTTTTTTCTGAATCCGAATTTTCTTTACAGCTACATTTAAAAAAAATTCAAAATTTGCCGCCCCCTAGATTTGCCGCCATGGGCCGTGGCCCATGTGGCCACCCTCTTAATCCGGCTCTGTTCCACAGCTGGAGTTTTTTCGATTTTTCAGTACAAGTATCTCAAAAATTCGTATTTTATCGAAGACAAGTTTCCAACATTTGAATGCTTACTCATGGTGTCTTTCCTTGCTTGGCAGCTTCTCTCCCTTCCCGTCCAGTGGCGTGGCGTGAATTGCGATTTATCGATTGTTATGCCATTTAAACCTATTAATAAATAGTATGTATCGATAGAGAGGGTGTTCGCATCGAACACCTAAATAATCGATTCTTTACTATAGGTTCAAATGACGTAACAATCGATTTATCGCAATTCACGTCACGCCACTGCTCCCGTCCCCACGGAAGATGGAACTTTAAGTACTCATTTTACGGAATAGGAATCTGCCAAAATCTGCATGTTCCGGTGCAGGATTCGAAAATTCTCATGTTGCGGAATAGGACTCGGCCGAAAGTCGCATGTTGCAGAATAGGGATTTGCCGATGTCCCGGAATAGTGCTCTGCTGAAAGCCTCATGTCGCGGAATCGGATTCTGCCGAAATTATCATGTCGTGGCCATAGGATTTTGCCGAAAGTCTCGTGTTGTGGAATAGGATCCTAGCGGAATTCTCATGTTGCGGAATAGGATCCTGCCGAAATTCTCGTCGCTCAGCGTGCGCTACGGTCTCCTGTCGGCCCGGTGCCCCGCCGACGACGGAGAAAGTCGCACGGAGGATGAAAGGTCACGTATGTAAGTTTATTACCGCTTTATCGCTTTTTACTTTATTTTTACGGCTGTCGCGTCCTTCGTTTAAGTTTTGCTTTCGCCGGCTTTGCGTTTACTCTGAGCAAAGACCCCAGGGCTGGCGACGGAGTGATCGAGGTGGAAAATCGGAAGCTTCCTCGGGAAAGGGACGGATTTTATGACCGACCTCTTCGAGGCTCCAGATTTTTCTGCGGTTATGCATTTGTCTCGTGAGGAACGGAAATTTTTTTACGATATTCCTTTTTACTCCGTATTTCCTAAGAGTCTTATTGCAAAATTGACTGACACAATTCAGTTTACAAGCATATACAAGTATTTGAGCAATGTTTGTCCATTTGTTAGATTTTTTTAGCGGTTATGCATTTGTCTCGCAAGGAACGGGAATTTTTTCACGATATACATTCTTACACTGCATTTCTCATGAGAGTTATTGCAAAATTGACTGACACAATTCAGTTTTTTACAAGAATATAAAATATTTGAGCAATTTTTCTCCAACATTTGTCCGATTTTTTTAGCGGTTACGCATTTGTGTCGCGAGGAGCGGAAATTTTGTCACGATATTAATTTTTTACCCTGTATTCCTCAAGAGATTGCAAAATTGAAGTAAAAAATTAAATAATTTAATTCTTTACAAGAAAATACTTGAGCAAGTTTTTGTCAAAATTTTTCCGATTTTTGCACGAGAGCAAATGAAAAATGAGTGAAATTTTCAGTTAGATGTGCCCAAGATTCTCCCGGCGATAATGCATATTGCTGGAGGGAATTTCGCAACATGAAAATGTAGTTACGTGAATTGACGCTGTGTGAAATACAGCGTGAAGTAATGGTAAATTCTACCAATCTTTTCTTTCGGTGTAGTAACCTGATTTATTGTGGTATCGCCACAGTTTTAAGCTCCCTAATCAAGTCAGGTCTTAGCCCCTATCCCTTTTTTCCCCTAGAAATACCGTGTGGCTTTTTATTTTGCGTTTAACGTTGGTTTTGTGTTTGTTTTTTGGACAGGATGGTCCTTGAGTCGAAGGCGGCGGGATCACACATCGACTACGGGAGCATAGCGAGCAAAAGACAGAGCCGGGAAGCGGAGAGCGAGTGCGGAGAAGGCGCGGACAGCGGAGCAGGCACAGGTCCAGGCACAGGCGAAGGGACAGGCGCAGGGACGGGGACAGCGGGGACGGACGGCACGACGACGGGGACGCCGTTAGTAAGCATCCATGACACGGCAAGCACCCCCAACGGCCAGCAACAACAACAGCCCGGGGACGCTCACTCTAAGCCGGACCAAAGCATGACACAGAGCCATGGCATGGTAAGTTCAACTTTTCCACTCGTCTTGATTCTCTTCATCTTTAGCTTGGAAAAAGAGACATAACACAATGGACCACCCAGGGGCGGATCCAGGGGGGGGGGCGATGGCGGGATCGCCGCCCCCCCCCCCCCCTTGGAGCCAAAAAAGAGGGAGGGAAAGAAAGGGGAAAAAGAGAAGAAAAAGAAGGGAAAGGAAAAAAGAGAAGAAAAAGGAAGGAAAGAAGGGGGAATAGGAGCTTGGTAGGAATTTCAAAACAGGTAGGAAAATCAAATTTGGAAAACATTTTCCATGCAATGTTTAATTGAAGCTGGCTATTTTTCATAAAATCTCGTAAACTGTTCGAAATCTCCAGTTAATAACGCGTAGATGCAATTGTTGTTGCTCCAAAGTTGTCCGGGTTGCGCGTAGAGAAAATTGAAGGCACTCTGTTTTTCCAGTGCTCGCACTGCTCGCAGTGCAATGATGTTTCCCTCGATTCAAAAACGAGAAAAGAATGAAGAGCAAATCCCGTGTCTGGAAACCTGTTGGTGGGACAGAAACCGTGCAGTTGCTCTCCTAGGTATCCAAGCAACGTCTTTGGATTCAGAAGAAGTTGTTGTTGTTGTTGTTGTTGTTGTAGGTTGATTGGCCTAATTCCGCTTTGCAGATAAACAGCCACTTACAAAAGTTCGGGATCACACACTAGATGATCATTTCCCTAGAGAATAAACAAAGTTTAATGTCTTGGTCAATGGGTGGTTCGATAATAATCTACTAAAATTTTGATCCGGGATGGATGATCTGATTTCGTATGAAATTATTTTCCGAACAACACTCACCTCCGCCCAATGATGACTGATGAACGACACTTCGTGCGGCAGTTTGCGGAACACGTTTGTCAAACTATGGGAGTTTCTCGTTTGTCATCATTGGGCCAAGATGAGTGTCGATATCCACAAATTACATCCACGTTGTTGATATTTTTGAGGTTATGTGACATTTTTATCTAAGTGAACATTTTTTTTTTAAAAACTATAAACGCTCATATCGTGATGTGAGTGTGTGTGTGTGCTTCGAATCGTGATCGCAAGTTTTTGGTCGGAAAAATCTGGGTCAGCATGTCTTAGCTGAGCCGTCAATTAATGTCCATCGAAGCGCATAACTCGACCTAGCACTCGATGAAAAATCAAAAAAGAAATGTGAGTCAATCTTCCTCAAAGGAATATTACCCATTTAGAGCTTATCAAATTTGTTTCTTACCTAAGTCCATTCCAAAAATTGAGTATCAGACAAGCAGAGATCCTTGACAGTTGTAAACTTCCGTTTTGGGGCTTCACCACTAAACCCCTGTTGACTGTTGAGCAACTTATTGAGCTGTACTTCAACGTATTTTATTTTTTCCTTACGGTAAAACTAATTTCGACGTTTATGAGCTAAATTTTTAAAACGAACATCCCTAATGAATCCCTGAGAAGCCAGAAATATTGGTTCCTTATAGTAAAATTAAGTGCACTCTGCACCGCAACGTCGCGGGCTTCTTGTTAGTGTCCTCCATCGTGTGCGGCAACCAATACACACTTCTGTGGATTGTGTGAAGCTGCGTGCAAGTGTGTGCTTACTCAACCCCCCCCCCCCCCCTCTCCCGGGATAATGGTGGGTGGTGAGTTTTAGTCATGGAGCTGCAAAGCTCATGCAAAAACAACGTTCCTCCGACGGGTTTTTGTTTAAGTTAGACGGTTTTTTTTGCAAGTAAAGGCGGCTAGGGCTCAAAGCCAGAGCATGACAGTGACGTTAAAACAATCACGTCGCGCGCCAAAGCTACGTCGTAAACAACGCAACCAATCCCCGTTGCCAATATTCTTGAGCATTCATCCTCTTATGCTAAGCATACATGGCGGAACTCGGACGGAGGCTTTAGGCGATTTCTTCATGGCTTATGGGGCTTTAAAAAGTGCTTGATTTTGAAAAAAAGTTGATTTCTTGATGGTTGCTCGAAAAATGCTTGAATTTTACCCCCTCTTATTGGGCCACTAGAAAAAGTATAAATGAAAGGAGGGTATGGATTCGATCGACACGAATCGATCGAAAAATGAAATCGTGAATTGATCGACACCGATTCGATCGACAAATTATTAAAAAACCGGTGTCGATTCGATCGACATGAATCGACCGAAAAATAAAAACGTGAATCGGTCGACGTGAACCTATCTACATCGATTCGATCGACAAACTATTAAAAAACCAGTGTCGATTCGAAAAAAATCCAAACGAAGGACGACTCATTTAAGTAGGTTTAAGGAAACTCTGCGCATCATGCGCAGGTACCCAATTTTTCTAAGATTTCGAGGGCCGGCAACGTAGCAATTCATTTAAATGATGTATGTCTCGGAAAAATGCCGCGATAAAAATCTGTAATATTTGACTTGATCGGCACAGTAGGCAACGCTAGAGTTAAGTTAAGGTGTAGGAGAAACAAAGCTTTACTTAGTGTCGCACGTGACGGGCACTGAACGAATTTCATGCCAAGGCCCGGATGCAACTATTCGGGCTCCATGGATGTTCGTATTGCATACGCATGGGAGAGAAGGCGTTTTAACTTGAGACACTAACCGCCTCACCAGCGACGCTCGGTGGAGCGAGTTAATGAGAGGTGTCGGACAAAATGTGGAAACATTGAAAGCTCATATCGACATTAATATGGAGCATAGGGATTTTAGAAGTAGGTTCATTGATCTACTCGCTAAATTTTCTTCAAGAAACGCCCATGAAACGGAAATTTGTCGAAAGCAACATGAAATAAAAACTTGAATTTCATGGTCAAAAGTGATTTTTCGGTGATCAGGGTGTCTAGCATCAGGAAAAACTGGAAAATATCAGGAATTTTGGCCGATCAGGAAAATATCAGGAAAATCGGAAAAATCGGACGTTTTATCAGGAATTTTTCTCATTTTGTCAGAAAACTTAGTTTCCGCATGCACTTATGCAGTAAATATAGTTTTTACGAGAAAAATCAGGAAAATATCAGGAATTTTCAAAATGAAAAAATCAGGAAAAATCAGGAAAATATCGGGATTTTTCAAAATTAAAAAATACTAGATACCTTGGTGATTTTCGTTGCGTAATTCATGTTTCACGTGATCATTTCGAAGAGAAGCAAAAAGCCGAGAGCCTGAATTTCTACCTCGTCTAGTGGTCCATTACAAGCATGACACTCGTGGTGTTCCCGTTCAAACAAGAGATGGAGTCAAATTTAACGGTGGTAATCGGTCCAGTTAACCGCGGTCGTTTATTCCGCCGTTCCCGATGCAGCGCGATGCAGATGCAGCCACGAGGCATGAGTCGCCCGAATCGAAAATGCATCCATGCAAATGCCAATCAATGGTGAAGCGTGAATTTTGCATTCGCATTATTCGCCGCCCGTTCCCGCTTCCACGATTCACTTTCACCGGCTCTCACGCCGTGGGATGACGAGGCGGCTTGAGCCGTACTTCCACAGACAGCGCGCGCAAACGGCCCATCACTAAATTCCTCTTTTCCCAGACGAAAGACACTGGGAAAAAAACACATTGGATCTAGAGTCCAGACTCTTCAAAACATCGACAAGAAAAAATCCTCTTGATTCAATCAGAATCTAGCTTAAATCAAGAACCAAGCCTCTTAATTTGAGCGGATTTCCTTTTGATTTAAGCTTAAATCTTATTGAATCAAGAGTCCTTTTTCTTCTCAATGTTTTCAAGAGTCTGGACTCTAGATCCAATGTGTTTTTTATCCAGTGGAGCGTAACTCCATTCCTCGCTTGCAAAATTCACTCCAACAATTCGACTTGTTACAAGAATAATGTCATTTTCGTCAAAATTATATTTTTTCAAAATCCACAACCCTTCACAGTGAGCTGTTTGTGGGATCTCGCGGAACGAAGCGCCCTTTTTTGTGCCTCGTATCCCTTGAATTTTGAGTTTAATCCAAAGATCTTACAGGAACTTTTTCAAAGAATCAACGGCGTTTTTTCAAAATTTACAGTCCTTCAAAATGATCTCTCCTTGTGATTTTGCTAAAAATCATGTTTGGCTCCTAACCTCCCCCCCCCCAAATTTTAACGTACCTCATATTCACTTGACGTGTACAAAGAGACCATAGAGAGGTATAGTCCGCCATGCGAATTTCGAATGGAATGGAACGAATAGATTTGAAGACACGACTGTACACAGATTTGGGGCCGCGAAAGTTAACTCGCAGTCACATTCTGTTCTTTGACTATGGCCTCGCGTCGCAGCCTGCTTGTGGGATCGTACCTTCGAACGATTTGTCCGAACGCCCCCGTAGCCTACTCACATAAATCCTCGTTTTACCAACGGAAAGGCGTATCTCAATATTGGTGTGAGTCCTGAAAAGCTTAGAATTATACGGACGACAGAGCTCATCTAAAAATGCACTTGTGCCCTCAAGTCAAAGGAGAGACAATATATGCCGACAACCAAGTCGCTTCCACCCGATCTCCGAGTGCATTCGCAGAAATGAACTGCCATGACAAGGAAAATCGTCTTTGTCGGCGGAAATACACTCACCGCGAAATCAGAGCATGACGTCTAGGATCTGGAAAACGCGGGAAGTACTGAGATCTATCAAGAAACGAAAATTTACGGGAAAATCCAGGTATTCATCGAAAATGATTGACTCGAGGAAAAAAAGGTGAAAGAAATTCTAGACTTGCTTGCTAAGAGATGTCATCGTCACTGTCATGTCAAAAATCACTCGTCTGCAGACCCTATAATTGAATCTACGTGGATGCGACAAGACGAGACTCAGCCCCGTCGTCTTAACCATGCAATGTATTGTATTTCGATGTATCATCGTGCTGCAGCATAAACGGTGCATCAGAGGGAAACCAGTGGCGTGGCGTGCCACTATGGTCCAAAACTCAAGATTAGGAAGAAATAAGTCGGATAATGACTGAAAGATCACAAGCGTTTTGTAACGGATGTTTTTTGAGTCGCTTATTTCGAATTTGATGTGAAAGTGCC